TCTGAGCTGAAACTTCAAAAATTCATAACTAATTCACTGTTAATCCGATTGAGCTCATTTTCGGACAGGAGTTAGTTCTCGATATCGGATACATTTTGTTTTCACATTTAAACTTCAAAAATTGTACTTAAGCCCCTGCGATTTTGCCTGGAGCGTGACGAACTCAAGTAAACATTGGAGGCCCAATTGCACATCCAAAGCCCATTTTTTCTCTCTAATTTCTATTATATAATCACATTCTTTTCACACAAACAAAAAGAAGAGGAAAAAAAAAGTTTTTGCCACAACGCTGTCAGAATATCAAATTCTTTCAAGAACCCTAAAACCTTGAAATCCTTATTACAAACTCACATCTCACTACAAACAAGTCATCCTTGTTACAAATCCATATCTCACTACTTCTCCAGTAAGGATAAGGCTGGTTTGATCTCCATGATCAAAAGGGTATAATCATTCATACATGCCATGTCGGTTTTAACATTAAATTTTTTCATATATTGACTTTATTTGTATTTCATGATATATAGTAATTTATTTAATGTGTTTATGAGATTCAACACAGATTTAGACAGGATCCCATGCAGGTTCATTACAGAACGTTGAGGTCAAAACACAAATGGCCAAAACAGAATAACCAACGCATGGCACCAATGCATGACAAGGCAGACATCTTGAGAAGGTTAAGGGCGTGGGTTCAACAATCACCCCTATTGGTTTTGATTTTCTTCCTTTATATTTATCCTTTTACCTATTTTTATTCTTTCCGTTTAAATTTTTTTTCATAAAACTTAATATTTTTCACAAATCTTTGATTTTTCCTCCTAAACTCGAATAATTAATTTTAGGTCTTTTTTAAATTTAATTTTAGGTTTTAAATTAATTTTTGGTTCAACAACCACCCATGACATTTGCATTATTTTTATTTTCTAACCCTATTTTTCATTTATGCTTCTTCCCCTATCTATTTTTTGACAAACTTAATCTTTTTTATTAATCATTAGACATAAACTTTTTTTAAACCTTTTTTTTAATTAAAATTAATTAGGTTTTAGGTTTTTTTTAATTAACCTTTTTTTTTCAAAATTAACCTTTTTTTATTAATTAAAATTAATTAGGTTTTAGGTTTTTAATTAACCTTTTTTTTTTCAAAACTAACCTTTCTTTTTAATTCAAACCAATTAGGATTTAGGTATTTTAATTAACTTTTTTTTCAAAATTAATATTTTTTACTAATTAAAATTAATTGGATTTTTTTAGGTTTATTTAATTATCATAAATTATTTTTTCATAAAAAAATCACCAAAAACATTAACTTAGAATTTTAAGTTTTAATTTTTCCTTAATTTCTTTTTATTTATTCTTTTATATTTTAATTTCTAGAAAAATTGTATAGGTCGCATTATCAATATAATAACGTAGATTTATCTTTTCTCGCATTTTTTTTTAATTATGTAATTGCTTCCGGGATGTAATAGTAATTAAGATTTTAAATTCCGCATCTTTATTTTCAGTCCAAGATAATTATGTATCTGCAAAAGCCTTGTAATAGCTAGGACTTTAAACTTTCTGCATTTTATTTTCGCAAACTATAAACTGCTTAGATGTATGTTAATAGGATTGTATGGAAAGACAAACTGAAAATTAAAACAGTAGATCACCTTAATTGTGCAAAGATTAAATAACTGAAACCAAACACATGCACATGCTCACTCTTAGGGTATGCCTCACTTGGTTGTCTCGGAAAACAATGGTCATGTCCCTCGAACGTAGGGATATCTTAGCAAAGACCCTCGGTTAAAATCATCATAAAGATCATAGTCCCTCGATGTCCCTCGAAGTTGCCTACGGTATATGATCTTGTCCCTCGATGTTGCCTACGAATATACAATGACAATCCATTCGTAATGCTAAGGTATCCTTACATGTTGCCTTCAATGACCATTACGTCCCTTCGAATTGACCCTTACAAACTCCAATGACGGTGCTACCTATTTTTTAATAGTAGGATAGCGCTGTCTAAAGGAAACAAGAATAGAAATGATCTTTTTTCAAGTAGGTAGATAACTGTTAGGTACTTGCTCAAACAAACAAATCTTTTTTCACACCAAACACTTTCTAAACAAAGTTTTTTCAAAACAACATCGTAACACTCTTGAAGACAGAAGCAAGGGTTAAATCGAAGTAAAAACAAAAACTTTTTTCAAATCAAACACACACAAGCAATTTTGAAAATGATGAGCAAGTACCTAAGAGCCCATGGAAAACCATGGATAGAAAGGGTGATAACACATTCTCTTTCTATAATCTATCCCTCGTACTCAGAATATCTCGAAAAAGGATTTTTTTCTATACTTTTTTCCTTTCCGTTTGGATGAAATAAAAGTCGGTGGCGACTCTTGCTTACCGTGACATTTTGCGAACAAAAAACGCAAACCAGTATTTAACAGTCGGTTCTGCCACCGTATCACAGCTGGGAGGATGGTAAACCAAGTAAAATTGTTTTTTGTTAGAGAACTTGAGAAGTATTTAATCCTAAGGCTCTCATTATTTGAGTTTTCCCCAACTTCAATCAAATATCTCGCTATATGTTCGACAGTAGATTCCGTCGTATCCCCTGAAAACTTAGTGAACTTTGGAACTTTCCTCCTAGGGGGTAAATCTGTTTGCAAGATATACTCTGGCAACGGGGATGTAAAATTTGGCCTATAAAAGCCAATGTTCATTCTATTTTGTATCATGATCCTTTCTATCATGGTTGTCAGATTATTTTTTGTGCCATGATTATGGTGTCGAACTTGTTGTATCAGTTCATCAGCATTTTGGTTCCTATTTATCACCATTACACCTTGATCACCATCTCTAAGGATCTAAGGGGGGAGTCTGGGTATTTCGACCCTAGGTTGTTCGATTTCCACTTTGTGGTTCCTTCTATCTAGTTGTGGATTTTGGTTAATAGTTACATCTTCTTCTAAGACTATACCTTGATCCTCTCTCATGGGAGCTCTCTGGGATTGTCGAATAGGTTGGGGAACCCCAAAAAATTCAGTCATGCGCGCCATTTGCACTGTCATTTGTTGGTTTGACTGAGTGGTATTTTGTATTAGAGGGTTCAATACTGTACTTAGAGTTTGGACCAACATTTGTACCATGTCACGGTTTCTTTCATCCATCTGTTGCCTCAAAATTACTGTGGAAGCGTTTGTGAGGCTTGGCATTGCATGGGATGTCCCTCCTAAAAGTTGGTTCCTATCCATACCAGTTCCAGATATCTGTAATGGTGAAGATGCACTTACCAAAGGTTCTGAAAATGTAGACGCAACGTTCATAAGGCTAGTTATTTCAGTAGTTGGCATGCCATAAGGCTGGTCTCGACCCATCCAGGCTGTCGAAAATCCTGGGGAAGCGTATGATCGAGATCCTGGATTCACCCTTGGTGGAGGTGTTCCTGTTGGACCTTTGGGACCTGCATACTAAAGTATTAGTCCCATTTGGGTTACTGTTAATGTTGGTATCGAACCAACAGTTGACGAGACAATTTCACTAAGGGTTGGTATTACCGTTGTTCCCGTAGTAATTGGTGGAGGTATTTCTCCATTATTTGGCTTATTAGCCATATTGCTTTCACTATTTCTCTTTCTAGTTGTACACTCGTTGGTGGTTACTTTACCACTTCTTAATAGCATGCAAAACTTCGTAAAAGAAAGAAAATTATGCGAAGCATTTATGTTGAGATTAATAAGCAAAAACGGAAGACAAAAATAAAAACAATTAGCAACGTCCCACCAGGTGTGCCAATTTGTTCACCGTATTTTCTGGTAAACAACCGCTGATCTTCTAAAAAGGGTAACTTTTTGGTTACTCGCAAGATCGATCAGTTTGATCCTAGAACATATGCTAATTTTTTGTGTTGTTTGGACATAAATGATAATGCAAGTGAAGAACGCACGTTCGACTGGGAAAGGGATGAGTTTGAGTGCAGAAAGTAAATAGAAAAGGGATTGAGAAGAGTTTAGGTGCAGGAATCTGGGTAAAATTGCAAATAAAGTGCAAACAAGATAAAAAAGGCAAGAAATGTAAAGGGAGAAATAAAAGACTTTGATTATAAAATGTGGTGTTTCAAACGTACATTTTCAGTATTCTTTCTCACGCAGCGGGTACTTGAATAATATTGAATAATTTGTACGATCAGTTGAACACACGGAAATCTACATAAACTTCCTATATTTATACTAAAACTAGGTAACCGTCGAGGAGTTGTCTTGCTCTAGGATGAAGACAAGTGTCTTCTGCATGCGCTGTGACCCCTCTCTTCACGCCACGTTGCTTCCCTTAACTGCCAAGCAAACTGTTTTTCCCTCCTTCCTTCAGATTCAAAATCTTCTGGTGCAGATACGAAGTTTCCTTCTGGTCGAAGACCCTGGAGTCCTTTCAGTCGAAGGGATTGAGAATCTGGTCGAAGATGCATTTTAACTTAGAAATTTCTCTAAGTGTTTTTCCATTCTGTCGAGGCCTTTCCAACTTAGACTTGTTCAATCTATTTTTGGCCCATAAGACCAACTTGTTGTAGGTGTTGAATTTAGGAGCTAACACTTACATGACATTGGATGCAAAGGAAGAGCCACCTAAATCAGCTCGTCGGGAGATATTAGAAGAAAAGCATGATAGGGAAGACTATGTCGTTGATGTGTTGTCGATCTCAGTGTGTATTTCGACCGTTGAGAAAGTGGACAAAGAGAGAAAAGCTCTCTTGTAATGGCCACTGTACAAGCCAGGACATGCTTAATTTTTGGTCTTCCGAAAGAGACTCTAAGTGAAATATAATCCTACTTATTCGCCTAATATTTTAAAAGAAACCATATCATTTACATTAAAAAGAAATGATAATAATTTACAATTACAACAGATAAATGGTCAAAACAAGTTTCCAAGTCAATATAAACATTAAAAAGAAAAAAACTGTCAAAGGTCTCAACCAACGTTGTAATATGTAACCCCTAATCTCAATTCAAAGTTGATCCTTGATATTGATAGTTATAATGAGGAGAGTGAGGATTGTAGTAATACTCATGTGAAGGTTGATGTTGATGGATATGATGTGGTGGTGAAGGTGAATGTGAATTTGACTCACTCAGTATTGGACTAGCAACATTATGTGTTTGGTTTTTATCTACTCTCACTTCAACTTTTTCAAGCTCAACCAATTCTTCTTCTATCTCTTCAAATGATCTTAAGATTGGATGCAAGTAAGAATCTGCTAAATATGCCTTTATGTTTAGGTCAGGTTCTGTTGTTTTCTCCAACAAATCTTTTGCCTTTGCTTCCTGGATAGATTAAGAGAATAATAATCAGTTTACAATAATTGCATTTTTTTCTCAAACTTGTAGTGTTACGTGACATGCGACATGCAACATACCTCGAGGGGATACTTCCGAAACGCTGGCTCGAAACGACTCTGGCAGTACTTGTGAAATGCAAATGTCAAGATTGGTAACATCACAAGCAAAGGAGTAGATTTAACTGCCTTTTTGGTGCTAAGTAAGCCGAAGAGAAGAAGCTGCGATATCAGTAAGCTTGCGATAATGCGGCTATGAACTTGTGGCCAGAATGCAGCAGCACTTTCGTATTGTTGATTGTAGACATTGATTATCTAAGTAGTCAAACATTATAAGAAATTGTATTTATGATACGGCGTTGTTGGATTTTCGAAGAAAAACATTTTAGATTGGTGCCTACCTGATGACGATAAACTAAATATGCAAAGGCGAAGAAGATGAGTATGAAAGGGAGAAGGATTGGAGTCATCACAGCATACACAATACCGAGAAGGAAATATAGTTGAAGACTTGGAAGAGTTTCGGGATAGTCCACACTCCCAGGGTCCATGGCCTTTTCTCGATCTCTCTCGGTTTTTACTAAGAACACGTTCTTGAGATGATATATAACCAATGGCTTTAATCTGAGAATCTCACTGGCAATTCCAGCCCAGCCATCAAGCATTATGTATGTCATAAAGAAGGTAGCCTTCATTGGAATTGAAACTCCAATCGTTCTAGGAATCCTATAATCAACAATTAAATCCAATAAAATCGGTCACGTGGAGGCAGTGAAAAAACTATGAAAATTCACAAGAAAGCAATCACAAGAAAACATACTGTGTTGGTGACTGGTGAAGAAAAGCATGCAGTTGCTCAAATGCAGTTCCAGTAATTATGCTTCCCAAGAAAACATTCACCAGCATAAAGTAATAATATTTTGCCGCTGTTTTTCGCTCAAGTGTTGATAATGCAATATATCCCTCGATTTTTGACATAATCATCAGAACTGAAGGTAGAATGTATAAAAATATTTTAAGGGCCAAACCAGGAAGAAAACCTTGTAGAAAGGACTTGATGAATTTCCTGCCAAAAGCAAAAACAATTTTTAATCTAGAACCGTAGAATCGGATTCATTTACTTCAAAAGCACATTTAAGTTCACTTACAATTCTATCACTGGTGTGAGGAAAGGAGCAACTTTTTCAAGCCCATCCAAATTCGCAAGGGATTGCACAAAAGCAATGGGAATCATGTAGAAGAATACCAAAGCAAACACCAACAATGTAATTATAAGTTTCCGGACGGTTAAAGAAACAAATGGTATGGCCAAGTTTCGCCAATATATGTCACGTGGCTCTGGAGCCCAATCAGTCAACCAGAGTGTAGGATTTTTGCTTTGTACGGTCTGTGCGCATACTGATGCTCCCCAACGCGAACTGAATGAAAGAAAAGCCACAGGCAAAATAGATTTGGGATCTTTTATAATCTTCTGGCGCTCCAATGTCATCTGCGCAAGGACATATTAGATATATATTCTCTCGTGTTTATTGGTTGAAGTGAAAATGAAAACAATAACACGAAACATAAAAACAAAAATAACTTACCTTTTTATCGAGTGCCTTAATATGTTGTTCATAGTACTCGATTGCGTCAACTTTCCTTCCCCAAAGTCCTAAACATCCAGTCTGAAAAAGTGAAAAGAGATAGCACTGTCAGATTGTGTCCGAAAAGATTCTTGTTTAAGTCACATAATGTACTTCTTGTATTCATACTGATTACATACCTTGATCGTTGGCCTTGTATGAGGATGGTTTTGAAACTTTAGGCGGTAATAGTCCAGCCAATTTTGAAGTCTATCTCTTTTTCTCACAAATTTTGCAAATTTGTTTGCATTGTAGACAGCCTGAAAAATGAACTTAAACAATAAGACTATGACTATAAAAATGCCCTTTGTAGCACTGACAACTCTGAAAAAAGATGTGTTAGTGTCGGTGTCAGACACATGTAATAAGCTATCTTGAAACGTTGATGAAAATAAGCTGAAAACATCGTATACACATGTAATATGCTATTTGTATAAGCTCTCTCAAATAATCTCACAGGTGGTTATGTTAATAGAAAAAGTCAAATAAGTCAAATCCAAACAAGCTCTAAATAGCATTACTCGTTCGAAGTATTTTAAGATTGGTTTATTTTAACAAACCTCTCCAATCAATAATGTCGTAAAATTCATTACCTGGTGTCCAATATAATGATCCGGGTGGTTGGTTTGAAAGAAGCTATCCACACTATCCGATACCGAGTGACCAGACATATGAGGGACATTTCTGACAACTACCTGCAACAACCATGAAAACCACAAGGATTTCAAAATATAGTTCAAATGAACTAAAAGCGGAAAATCCACGCTGAATCAGAACTTCAAGCTCACCGTAAATTGCTCCACGCGCCTGCGTTGTGAGGCCAAGAAATGCAATCTCATTAATGCTACATTATCATACTCCTTGTAGAGCAGAAAACAAATCCATATTGTAAACAGGTATTCCAATCCTATGTGAACAAAGAATCTGAAATAAACAATTGCATCTGTTAGACATAAACACGAAAGGAAGAGTTAGAAAGAACCAACTTGGAATGTTGCCAATTATTCATACCTTAAAGACTTAGGTGGAACATTTGATATTGAAAGTTTATCAATATCACTCACTACCAATTCTCTTCTTAGGAAAAACAATGTCCCACTTGAAACATTGACTGGAATAAGAATAAGGAGTGCCACAATTGTCACTGGAACAAACATCTTTAAGCTGAAATACAAGTACATAAAAATTAATCAGAATGCTCAAAACAGTTTCCAGTCAAATGTGATTTGACCATAAGTTGTTATGTTTGAATTTTGACTTCAAAATTGATGCCAGTCCCAAAATCAATTCCACCTAGACGCTATGGGTATGTTTGATTATGCGGTGAAATAAATTGATTCTCGGTGAATTGATTCTAAGCGTGTTTGATTCAACTCAATTTTAGCCAGAATCAATTCACTCAAAATCAATTTTCATTCAACTCACTTCAACCAAAATCAATTTTATTAAGATTAATTCAGTCAAAATTTATTTTTGTCAGCACATGTTCAATACCATAGATGGAAATATAGCAAGCCTCACACGCAACAACAACAAAACTCGCACACATGAAACAGAACAGAAATTGAGGGAACATGAAGGAAAGAAGAAAATCCAGCAACAAATCACATGCATCATACACCAAAGTTGAATCTCACACGAAAACACATCAAGAAAAAAGAAGGAAAAAAAACTGACATTAGCAAAAAAGTAAATTGAAAACTACACGGCATAACAATCAAAATTCCCATGAACAATGTACCTAAAAATTAAAACTTTTTTTTTTAAATCAAACAGAATTGAAATTTTCTCATAACCCATTATTGAAAATTATAGCTACAACAAAAACTAAGCAACACATAGAGTGATAAATTGGGATACAAATTGAAACTTTATGATAAAAAAAAAGTATAAGAAGAGTACCCAAGAGCATAAATTCTGAGAAAAACAGCAGAATCAAGACCAGCATGATTAATAATCTCAGTCTCAGTCATTCTCAAAGCTTGTGGCATCCAGTTGAGAAAAGTCAAATAAGTCTTGAAATTAAGATTGACAAATTTTCCAACAAAATTCCCAGAGGTTCTTGGGTTAGTTCTTCCACCAGTGATATACCATTTTGGGAAATAAATTCTGTCATTGATGGGTTGAATTCTGAGTAAAGCAAATGCTATCAAGAAAGCAAGAGCTGAGAGTATGTTGATGGCAGCTGAAACACCAATGTCTGCTAGAGTGGCCATTTAGAGAGAGAAAGAGCTTGTAGAGAGAGAAAGAGAAGAGAAACTGGTTTGTCTGAAAGGTGGTTCTTTCAGGCAATTTCTACACTCATATCTCATTGTTTTCTTACAAAACGAAATTCCATAAATATCTCTTAAAATTGAAATTGAAAGTATATTTTTGATTCGTACCATATTATACATGAATTATATTAAAATGGTGGGGTGTAAATTGAAAGTATACTTATGGTTTATAACTGGAAATATACTTTCAATTTCAAGAGAAACTATATGGCGCGCTACTTCTTTTCCTCCCATTACAGCAATCTATTCAAAACAAAACACAAAACTCTCTCAAACCCTTATTTCATAAATTAAATATTTTGTCAAAAAATCATCAGAAATCATCAAACAGTGGTTAAATAAAGCATTCTAACGCAATTAATCAAGAAAAATCAACATCAATCAATCAGGTATGTTATTTTTGAAAAAAAATTAGTTTATGTAATTTCTACTCAAATTAGTGAATTAGGGTTCAAACTGTGATATTGTAGCTAGTTATCATCATTAGAAGTCATTAAAAAAGTGTTTCTAAAATTTATTTGATGATCAATGCCCTTATTTGAGCTCATTTGAGGGATTGGGATGCCAAATGAGCGTTATTCTGTTATCGCAGAAGGAATCGGAATTAAATTTTCGGTTTTGGTAAGAACAAAACCGCAAGTATAGTTCTGGTTTCTGTTTGTGTTTGTTTTAAGCCTCGTTTTGCACACTGGACCTTATATTAACATTTCGTTCTTACTTCTACATGAGCAATGAGTGAGAGACCATCTCGATTGAGGGCTCGGCAGGGTTGCACAACATGCTTCTGTGTGGAGAGAACAGAGTCAGGAAATCCAGCCTCCTCCTGCCTCTGGACAAGCCATACCGAATACACCTCTTACTGCTTCATCATTTGCCACCCCGTCCTCCTGTAGACGCACTTCCTCACCTAGCGTATTTGAGGTCAGATCCACATTTGTACCCAAGCGACACCTGAGGCTCAAACATCATCACAGTCTCAGTTCCAAACGCCACCTGAGGCGGTTCCTCAGTCACCAGCGGCACCTGGGGCCGCACCAGCGGCACTTAAAGCCGCACCATCTCAGCCTGCACTTGCGGCCCCTCAGGCTTTTAGAGGAGGACCATATGATTTATCACTTCTGTCTCTTTATCCCAACTATGTTGCTAGACATATCTGGGACTGACAGGTATGAATTTTGCATTTTTATTTCTATTATGAATTTTATTGTGAATTTTATTATGAATTTTGACTTGAATTTTATTATGCAGGAACGTGATACGCTCAAGGTCATTAGCCATGGGTGGAAGATCAGTAAACTTGTGCCGCCTATTGAGCCATGGTTGAAGAGCTTTTACGGCTTACAGGATTGAAAGATTTGGCTCTGTGTGGATACAGCATGGTCAACTGGGATATGATCAACACATTTATTGAGAGGTGGCACCATGAGACATCATCGTTTCATTTACCACAGGGTGAGATGACGATCACACTCAACGACATCGTGTGTCTATTTCATCTACCGATCAGAGGGACTTTCTTAGATCATGATAGGATCAGCAAAGATGAGGCGTTGGATTTGTTAGTTTAGAAGTTGGAAGTTACCCCTGAGAGTGACCTGGGAGATATTGATAAGACCCGTGGTTGTCACGTCAGGTATAACTATTTGGATAGGGTGTATGCTGATGAGATTAGGCGTGCACGAGAGACTCATAGTGATCCCAAGCAGGTTACCATTCACAGGGGGTTTGCCATGAGAGCATACCTTTTGTATCTTGTTGGCACAGAAATTTTTATGGACATCAGTGTCATTTACATCGATATCATATACTTGTGGTACTTTGATGATCTTGAGACGATCAACCAGTGGAACTGGGGGGGCTGCTTGCTTGGTTTAATTGTATACCAAGTTAGACGACGCTATTAATTGGGATATGAAGCAGATGATCGGCAGCATGTCACTCATGACGGTATAAATTCTTTTTTTTGTGGTCTTTGTTAATTATTTTGATTTCGGAACTAACTATTTAATTTTGTTATTTCAGGGATGGATCCAACAGCACTTTCCCCGCATCTCGGGTTGGTCATATGTTACGAGTTATATTGAAGATAAGTCGTGTGCTTGTGTATATGATCCACTCCGAGGGAACCAGGCGATAGAGTCGTTTCGAGTTTACATTGACTGACTGGTGCATGAGGACATTCACTTCAGCTCATACGTCGACCATCGTATCACGATACCGTTTGACGAGGTTGCGCTGTTTACAGGTTGGTTGTCTTGCGGGATTCGCAAGACTGCTGTTTATATGCCTGAGTGGGTGATGCGTCAGTTTGGGTTTACCCAGACTATTCCCCGAGATCTTGTTGTATATGCTCCTCCGACTGTGAAACAAAGGGATATGGATGTTATGTTTGATGATTTTGAGAATCATCTTGTTCTTGATGAGGCCAGGAGTACCGTAGCACCAGACAATTGGAGTTACGAGTATGGATACATGATATGGTTCTTCAAGGTGTCTCATTCATACATGGTATAGGATGCTTCAGTGAACCCATCGAGGCCAGTTCATCAGGAGATCCTAGAGGAGGAGCAGGCTAAGAGAGATCATGCTCATCATGTGTTGCCTTGGTGCCGTCGTATCATGGAGCTTGTGCGGGATGGTATTGATAGAGTGTTGTTTCCCGATAGATCCGATGTTAGAGGTGTTTTGGATGCCATCATGACAGAGGCTCAGGAGGCTCTGTGTTACAGGAGGCAGCAGAGGAACGCCTCGAAGGTGACAGACCGACTCATCATTCGCCATACTGAGTAGTTTATGCTCATGCATTTGTATTTTGATTTTAGTTTTTTAGTATTGTATTGTATCGTATTTGTACTTGGATTACATTTTGAGGCTGTGTACGACTCTATCACAATATATATATATATATATATATATATATATATATATATATATATATATATATATATATATATATATATATATATATATATATATATATATATATATATATATATATATATATATATATATATATATATATATATATATATATATATATATATATATATTTTGTTCCATTTGTGATGTATATGATTTGTACAAGTTTTAATTTGTGATGCGAAAAAACGAGAAATATATTTTCTTATAAGTCTGATTTTTTTGCTACTAACAACATCAAAATCGAAAATATATTATCGATTTAAAATCGAATATATACTTCCAATTTTAAATCAAATTTTTTAAAAAAAGACACATACTAAAAATATACTTTCAATTTTAAAAGAACATTATATAAATTGCATTGGATTTAATTTTCTCATATGGGATGGGCTAAGAAATCCTTTTTTTTTATTAGTAAAATATTGAGGTAGAAAGTGTTTGAGATTTGCATGTGATTGGAACAAGAAGAAAAAGGATGTTGTTCTGGTTTGTTGTTTTTTTGTACTAGGGTAATGTTATTTTTGCTTTCATATAGATATTAAAATAATAAAAGAGGTAAAATAAATTAATAAATAAGTATATGCAGGATTTTTTTAAGTCAAATGTTTGAATGCATCAAATAGATATATAGAAATATATTAAAAGCAATTATGACATAGATTATGAATTATTTAATTTTTAACATATGTAATTTAATTAGTTGCATGCTTAAAAATGAATTATTAGTTTGTGTATAAAAAATTAAATATCATTCTCTTTGGATTGACTACTATTTTCTGAGATAGTTGTAACATTTAGGACTGTAGGTCAATTAAATTTCAAAATTAATTAAAATCCTAAAAAATACTATTAAAATAAAATTTACTTTTTTCTTTTGTTTTTCAACGTAAGATATTTTAGATTTTTCACACATATAAGAAATATAATTATTCTTGTATGAAAAAAATATAAAAAATTGTCCAAGACAAAAGATAAACTTAAACAATTAAAAAAATAGAATAGTAAATATTTATGAGTATATTATTAAAAAAAAAACATTAATAATTTATTGGTATAGTAAAAGAATTTACAATTTGATATAATTTTTTTCAACACAACTTATAATAAAAATGAAGAAAGTATTAAATAATCAAATGCATTTTTTATCTTTACAAAATCACAAATTTAAATTTCTAATTTCTAACCAAATTTGTACTCTTAGTCTCTATTTTTATTTAAAGAGAATATTTTGAAGATTTAAAATTGATGCATGTTAGAATTAAGACAATATTTTCACATCAACATCAGAGTTCGGTTCTTATAGAATGTAAGGTGAATCCTTTGGTAGTGTTAACATAGTGTAAGATCTAATGATTGTTTGTTATTGTCTTTTTCAATGTCCATAGGTCGTTATTATCATGTCACGCATCAAAGTAACTATAAAGTATAATAGAATAAAATAAAATAAAATAAAGTAATTAAAGGGTCTAATCTTTTTTATTCCTTTCTCTACTTCTCCACGCGGCGGGAAAGTTAATAATGTCAATTGCTAAGTTCGCGGCACTAAATAGGCTCATCATTGTCCATATAGGTTGGATTTTGTATTTTTTAGTAAATCAAATTATTTTATTTATTTTAGAGACAAGACTCATTTTAGTTTCTTATCAAAGTTATACAATTTAAATTATTTTCTTAAGAAAAAAGACTCTGAATTAATTTTTTATAAAAATTTAATCGAATTATTTAGTCTCTTTATTAATATTTTTCTTAAGTTAATTTTTTTTTACTTTTAAATCGTGATTATACTGTTAATTTGGATTTTGTTTTTTATTTTTTATTTTTTAAATATTAAATTAATTTTTATTTTTAATTTCATTTTCAAATAATTTTGAATTAATAATATAAAAAATAGTCAAAATTATTTCTTATATTAATAATATAAAATCATTTTCATATTTTATATTTTTATCACTAAATTAATGTATATTTATAGAAATAATTTCTATAATTTTTTAAAATATTAAATAATTTCAAATTTA